TCCGACCAAAATAATTCTCGACGAGAACCCGGTCGGAAGACACACGCCCATTTCGTTCCAGCTCTCGGGCTGAGAGTCCACCTTGGCTTTCGAGTCGGGTGAATTGCTCAAACCTCACTTCTTAACCCTTGATAGCCCATGTCCACAAGGACACTCCAAGAGTCTGGGTACTCGTCGGAACCTTCCTCGTGGTCCACCGTGTCCAATTCGGGCGCAGACTTCCGAAGCATTTCTTGGTGGATATGCCGACGTTGCTTGAAAATCGTCAAATCAGAAACTGAGCCTGGTGTGTGGTTTGAAATATCGACTGCATCCCCGGGGTAAGCAACGGAGTACTCGAGCTTCAGACCGTAGAGCTTGTGCTTTCCCGAGAAGTAGTGCTTGGCTTCGTCAAAACGTCCAGTTGGTCGATACGAGGGCTGAAACTTGACATCCGTACAATACAGTGCTGACGAAAAGTTGGCAAAAGCCTTTCCTTGTTGGACTTGACAGGTCATGTTGACAGGCATAACATTGTGCTCGTAGCGAATTGGTTCGACGATGTCAATAACACGCTGGATCAACTTTTCAAATGTTGGAGCCTTCTTGTTGAAGTCGAGGGCGTGTTTGTCCCAAGCGTTGCAGTGCTTAAGCACAGACAGGAGCATGAAAAATGCATTCTTTGGTGAGGTTTTTGACTTGCGGCCTCGCCCATCGTCCAGTTGTCACTGTGGCGGGTTCGACTAAGGCCCAAATTGTTTCGATCTCGGCCAGAGTAAAGTTCGACATTGTCGTGAGGGCTGCGTTGCCTCCTTGACTGAAGAAGCTGTCGATCACTGGCGTGGGCGTATCTTCGGCTTCCTCCACTTGTTGCGAGTGGGCTTGGTATACCGTACTCAACTCGTTGAGGGCATGGGCGTCGTCATCGACTTGTTGTTGGAGGCGCGTCACGATTGCAATGGAGTCCATGAGTTTGTTCAAAAGTTTTTGATTGTGAGTTACGACTCCGCGCTATCTTTTATTGTGTAGAGGCGTAGCATAGTTCAAGTTGTGTAGAGTACTGTCGGGGAGCTTGTAAATGCGGAATAGCTTTGCCATATTGTTTTTGATAATGTTTATTCTTCATTGACTCAGTCTTTGAGCTGTTGGTCATACTCTTCGTCATTCACTGCGATATTACGATTTTATCCACTCCTATTGCATTTATTTGATTTTATTCCAGATACGTACAGTACTAATATCCACTTGAAATCGAAATCACTGACAATGACCTCAGTAATTGAATACGAGGTCTAATATATACTGACCTTGAAAGTCAAGCTAGAACATGATTTGACATAGAGAGAGCTCTAATAGCTCATGCAGTCGGGTCGGTGGTGTAGGAGAGGACAGTTGCTACATTTCTCGTCAAAACAGTCCTTTTCTATGAAATTTGTGATATATTTTGACGGTCAATACTCCAGGTAATGTAAATTGCCACTTTACGCAAAATCTCATGAAGCCGTCGCGGGTAAATGGACGAATCTCGGCGATAATCGAAATTGCAATCAGAAAAGTGTGTTCTAGAGCTTTAATCTTATGTATCAAGAACAATTTACCAGCATCATGTTCTGGAATTAACTTGGCTGTCGAATTTCACGATTTTCAAGCAAAAACCGACAGCTCTTGTGTAGCAATTCACAGTGTTTGAACGCATCGATCGACCTTTTTTACAATTTTAGTTTTTGTAGATGAATTTCTTTATAAAGAATTGTTGTACTCCGCGAATTCTTCCGAATACGATGGACTTGTTTACATTCCTTCAAACCGAATACATGTACTCTTTATGACATTGTCAATTAAAGTCAAGAATGATAGTCAATTATTTGCATCCTAAATAGTTATAGTCTTCGACAATTGATAAAGTTCTCGCAAGAGTATATTTGTCCGTAGTGTCATAATATCCTTGACGGAGTTAATTTATTTGCCTTCTCATAATTCATCTTTCATTTAAATTGGTCAGGTTTAGGATTATGGGTGCATGGTTTGCATGGTTATTCACCTTTCATTCTAATACACAGCCCACAACTCCAGGATTCGCCCCTGAGCTCTACGACGAGATCAGAAGCTTCGTCGAAAGTGATGAACGCGCAGTTTATCGAGTGACGAACGTCTCTTCATGCTTCGCATACACGCACACTAATTTCATAGCAATGCTGTAGGTGTTGCAGAGAGGTTGCACAGCTGGTAGGTC